ATCAGTGGTATGCGGTAGTATTTGGTTTCCCAGAACATAGGAGAAACGAGTCTTATGCCGCATAGAAATAACTCTGCATTTGGAAACGTTTAACTCGATATCGTTGACGATTGACCATCGGTGGGCTGTATCGATGGTTTGTTGGAGTGCTTTATAATCCTCAGGATGTGTTACAGTTCTCCAGATCTTAGCGTCATTCGCAAATAGCAGTGTACTAGGCCCAAGGACATGTAGCAGATCGTTTATAAATGCAAGAAAGAGGCGAGGCCCCAATACGGATCCTCGAGGAACTCCTCGTGCAGCGGTGATAAGCTCTGATAATGACTCACCAACACAAACTGACATGGTCCTTTGTCGGAGAAACTCCTTGATCCAGTCCAGAACCAAACATCCTTCTCTGTCGTTGTAGAGTTTTCGCAGTAGAATTTGGTGGTTTACTCGATCAAATGCCTTTGAGAAGTCCAAATAAACTATATCCAACGGCTGGCCTGCATTAACGTGCAAGTAGTTTTGTGGTGCACGAATGCTTGTGCCGAAATCCGTGCTGAGTTGGAGACAAAAGCTCATGGTTTTTCAGATATTCCATCAACAGATGTGTCACAATAGCTTCCATGACTTTCGACAATATCGGAAGAAGTGTTACAGGTCGGTAGTTGGCGGGATCACTGCGAGATCCCCCTTTGTAAATGGGAGAAATCACTCCTTCTTTCCATGACTGCGGGATTACTGCCTGGTTGAACATCCTTTGGTAAAGTACAGCCAGAGGTTCGGAAATGTTATTGGCTAGCGACATCAGAGTCCGGGGATACATGTTGTCTGCGCCTGGGGATGAATTCTTACGCAAAGTTGGCAGTTTTGTTCCAACCTTCTCACTGTCAAAAGCCATGTTAACCAGTGACGGATACAGTAGACAGAGTAGTTTGCCTGGAATCCGTAATGCTTCGTGTGTCGCTGCAATAAACACCTGGTCGAACTGTTTTCTGAGGAACTCTGCTGCTTCTAGAGCAGTGGGTGAAACATGTCCAGACGATCTCAATGCTGGTACTCCTCATTTCACCTTCCTTGTAGAGCAAATTTGGATCAGAAATGATTTTTTGATCCAGGGTTTCTTGGTACATCAATTTGTCCTCTCGTACCAACTTGGTACACTGATTTAACAGTAAGGAATAATTATTCCAAGTTTCGATAGATGAACATCTTCTGTACTCCCGCCAGGAAACGTTCCTTTGCTCTATCCATTTCTTTGTTCGGCTGCGAATGAATGAATGACGAGTTTTAGATTTAGCACAAGTTTTTATACTTGTTGCAGCCGTTACAATTTCGGTAAGATAATCAGTGAAGCTCTTCCATGCCACCAAAGGATCGTGATCATCTTCTGGGAGGACCCACTGCTTAATTATTGCCAGGTTTTGCAGCTTTTTGTATTCTATGATGGCGCGAGTACTGCTCTTTCGGTTTTCTTGGATAGAGGCGTAGCCTATATAATCAAACTTCAATACGGCATAATCACTACGTCCTAGTGGAGACGTGACATTGACAGATTCCACCATCAGCTCCTCGTTAGTCAGCACTAAATCCAGTGTTGATGGTACGTGACCTGCTCCAAATCTGGTGGGTTCTGCAACGTGGTTGTACAGTGGGTGCAATCCAATGAACTGAGATAATGGTCTCTCGAATGGCTGGCGGGAATTCCTCGTTCTGATGAGATTGGGGCAGTTAAAGTCACACGTTATGAGAACATAAGTGAACTTCGGTGCTAACGCATTCCTTGTGGTTTGCAACAAAATCTCCTTGGCTGAGTCTGAATATGCGGGAGGTCGATACACAACACCGATTAGACACCTATCGTTTTGGAGAGTCTTACTGCACACCATAACGTCGGGGGCTGCGTCGGGAATACCAAGCTGTTTACACTGTAAATTTTTTCGATGATAAGGCAGCACTCCATCGCCTCGAGTAGGACGATCACGTCTGAGCAGCGACATTCCTGATAGACCCAATTCCGAATCGAGAATGTCGGTGGTCAGCCAGGTTTCAGTAAAAGCAACAATGTAAAATCGATTAGTTTTCCGTCACGTTCAATCCCTGCCTCTCTCTCATCCCTTATCTGTTCCAGACGGATTATGTCATACCCCACGATAAAGTATCCCTAATGTTATCTTCAACCTTGCTATATCGGACCCGTGTCTCACCTCTTTGCGTCTAACACCTCCCCTCCCCACCACAGATGCTCCCGTTATCACCGGCTCTGAGGGGAAAAACCCGCGACCAGTACTCCAGGACGCAAGCACCCGGCTGACTTGTGATTGGGANTGAGTGGTTCAAAGATGGAGAAATTATCGAACCCATCCGATTCCCAAGGGCAAATATCTCAACTAGTCAAACTCAAGTATGTCCTTCATTCTAATCAACTCGCCGCCTTGGTAGTCAACGCTACCTTTTTCGCACGCTCTGGGAGGGAAGGCAGTTGTGCCGATCTATAGTCTGTTGTGTGATCATTATTGATACTGCACGATTTACTCTTTTCTAAGATTCACTGTGTTTTTAATTCCTCGGAGGTCAGAAGTTTTTTAAAGCTGTTCATTTTAAAGCACAAACCCACTTCGGTCCGATTGACTCGTGTATAACAGTTCATAGAATAAGAATAACAAGGAAGGAATTCTACCCACCGAGGAGAACGTACACATGGTAAAATCCTGTGATATATGTTGAAAAAAGTGCTGTTTCTTTTGGAGTTATTTCCACAAACATTTTAGATGACATTCTGGAGGATGATAAATGGGTTGATTTGATTGTCTGAATCAAAACTACAACATTAATCAGCATGTTTTACATTTTGAGGTCATCTGAGATTGAAAGTACGCGACAATCGTCTAATCCATG